CCTCTATTTTGCTTGATGATCAACTGGGTCACTGAACAGTTGAGGCTAATGTGAAGCCATGAATGATAATACAGTTAACCGTTTTATCCGCCGATTAATCTATTTTTTATCCGTATTAAATATGGTTCAGGTCAGATATTTTACCCGTTTTTTATTCGAATCGTATCCGACCCGACCCGCCCGTTTGCCACCCCTAATTTCCATACGTTTGTTCATTGGTAAAAGCCTTAATAAATGTAACAGAGGTTTTGCACTTTGAAGATACTTAAGCTACAATGTTGTGAGAAAATAAAGATCTTGGAATTTTCGTACTTTGAATAAAAGCATTAGGAAATGTAAGGCGTCTTAAGCATAATTAGGTTTTCAATTTTCCAAAATGTTAGTGACGGGGGTTCACCATAAATTCTTGAATTTTTACCCATGCTTTTTTATAGTGATAAATCTCAATACAGAGGACAACTTCTAGAAAATGCACAACAATATGTCATGAGCATTTGCTACAATAATGTTCCCTTAAGCACATGCTTCATATCAAGCAAATTGTATAACATCATTATTTTTCCTGGAACATTCATATCAAACAAATTGTATAGTATCATTATTTTTTATGGAATATTTATTAGGAGATGGAATGAAAGTTTTACTAAAGCCTTAAAATATTTTTAATATTTGGTTGTAAAGATGGTATTAACACTAATATATTAAACTTTACGGTATAAACCATTTTTTTTAATTATCTACTAATACTAGTAGTAGTAATACATACAAAAAGAAACTAATGCCATAGTCAAAAAAGGAAACTATGGGCATTTTGTTGGTGGGATTTGCAACGTGTAACTCCGGTAACTTTTGCTGAATTCGCCACGACGCTCTCTACTTTGTTTTACGGATTTCCTTTCCTTTTCCTCTCCAGATTCTCATTTGAAATCAAGATACTTTAGATTCACTCTCTATTAAAGTGTGATTGTTTTCTTTATTAGGAGCCGTTTGGTTGGGTGCATAAGAATAATGCTGAATATGGTGTATTAGTAACGCTGGTATTAGTTATGTTTGCATTAATTATGAGAGCATTAGTTATGCTGACATATTTCTTATTCATTGTTTGGTTTGATGTATTAAAGCGTTGCACAATTTCTAAATAAATTATTTGTTTACCAAAATGCCCTCAAAAGTAGTCCATCACTCTATCTTTTTAAAAGAAACATTTGTTGAGGAATATTTTCTATGAAAAAGTTTAAAAAAGATTATTTGATTTGTGATATGGAACTGAATATTTATTTTAAAAAAATGAAATATGCTAAGTATTTATTTATTTACTATGGATATAATTTTATTTCTCATTATTTGGATTATTTTAAAACATATTTTAATCAAGCATAAATTTTGAAGGACAATTTTTTCTTTAACTAAGCTAATGCATGCATTAAAACTCATTGCATTGTTAATATCATGATTTTCTGTGCATTAGTTATGCATAAGATAATACCAAATAAAGTGTATAACTAATGCTTGTATAATTAATGCATAGGTTCAAAAAATATATCAAACAAAGTATTATTAATATACAAAGTTAATGCATGCATTATTTTATCTAATGCATCCTATCAAGCGACCCCTTAGCGTGCGTGAGAGGGTATGAATAGAATACACTTGTGATGCTCCGAAAATATGGTAAATATCTTCCTACTCAAAGAAAGAGTCCGAAACTTTTCTAATGCCTTTTTGGGCAAAAAATATATTTCTACTACTAAAAAAAGTTACATAAATAATTAAAACGCAGTATTATACTGCGTTTTACTTTAACAAAAAGTTAACCGTTAAAGTAACATGCAATATTATACTACGTTTTAGTTATTTATGTAACTTTTTTTAGTAGTAGAAATATATTTTTTGCCCAAAAAGGCATTAGAAAAGTTTTGGACTCCTCAAACAAATAACTCGGCCCGACCCGCGGCGCAACGGTCTGACCCTAGTCGCCCTACCTATATTTAGGGTTTTAGATTCCTTACAATCTTTGCTTTGCACCACTCTGTTTTTACTGCTGCTTTTTCCAGTTGAATATAGTGGGTTTCTACGGTTCTCTTTCCCCTCTGCTGATCTTAGCCTATATGAGTAGCAGCGGCTGAGAAAATTCATCTAGGAAACATTAGAAAGGTAATTCTTTAGCTTTTATTATTCCCCTTTTTTTGGTTTTATTGGTCCATTTTTTGCAAATTGCTGAAATAAAATCCAAAGTTTTCATCTAAAAAACTCTTTTTTTTTTTGTGTGTTTTCTAGTTACCCCTTCTGTTTTCTCTACTTCGTTTAAGTTCATGTGTTCTTGATGAAACTAAACCCTTTTTTTGCATTATATCTCTCCAAAAAACTTAGAAAGGTAACCCCTTTTGATTTCTTATTTATCTCTTTCGTTTCAGCTGTCCATTTTGTGTTTTTGCTGAAAACAGAGCTGCTTCGTTTGTTATTTTTTACTGATCTCTATTATCTCCTATTAGGTTGGTTGCTGGTAAAAGATGTCGGCAGTGGCTCAACTTCGCTACTCTCTACTTCCCGGCCACTTTCAGAATCAAAGTCGTTACTTTTCTGGTGCCGCATCCAGATTTTCTGACAATACATTTGCGAAAAATCTTAACTTTAACCCTTTAAGAACCAGCCATGTAGGTTCTAAACAATGGGGCTCTGATTTCCTTCAGGTTTCTTGTGCTGGGGGTGGTGACATTGGGATGGGACGAGGTAGTGGGGGTGGGGATAGTGGTAATGGAGATTGGAGTGGTGGGGGTGAATCAGATGATTCTAAGTCTTTGTGGGATGGTTTTGGACCGATTGGTGCTTTTGTTAATGGCTGGAGATCAAGAGTTGCTGCCGATTCTCAGTTCCCTTTTAAGGTTCTTATGGAGGAATTGGTTGGTGTGACTGCTTGTGTCATTGGAGACATGGCATCTCGTCCTAACTTTGGACTTAATGAATTGGATTTTGTGTTTTCCACGCTTGTTGTTGGTTCCATTCTGAATTTTGTGTTGATGTATCTATTGGCACCGACAGCAGCTGTTTCTAGTCAAGCTCTGCCTTTGATTTTCGCTAGTTGTCCAACAAGCCACATGTTTGAGCCTGGTGCTTATGGTTTGATGAGTCGGGTTGGGACATTGCTTTATAAAGGAACTCTGTTTGCTGCTGTTGGGTTTGCTGCTGGACTTGTTGGAACTGCAATTTCTAATGGTTTAATCATGATAAGGAAGAAGATGGATCCTAATTTCGAAACACCAAATAAGCCTCCTCCAACACTTTTAAATGCTGGAACTTGGGCACTTCATATGGGTGTTAGCAGTAATTTAAGATACCAAACGCTTAATGGTGTTGAGTTCTTGCTAGCCAAAGCTCTCCCTCCTGTGGTGTTTAAGACATCGGTTGTGATTTTGAGATGCTTGAACAATGTTGCTGGTGGAATGTCGTTTGTCATTTTGGCAAAGGTGACGGGGTCTCAGAGTGTAGAGGAAAAGGCAGTTACTGTGGAAGATGGAGTAGCGGCAGAGAAAGAAAGGTTGCTGAATCAGAGCGATTCTGCTTCAAAGTGATATGGCGCTGTGTGAATATCTGTCTCCACTCTCCAGCAAAAGCTTTACCCCAAAACTACAAATCCCTCCTATTCAGCTTAGTCCGCTTTTTTCTCCCCCCTTACTACGAAGTATGATCATAAATAAAATGAATCTAGCTGTGTTTTTTAGACCAAGAAATAGCTGTTCTGACTTGATGTACTCTTGCTTGGAGTGAGTCTATCCTGTCTAGCTTTGGTTTTCAGAGATTAATAGAACAGTTTATTTGCTGACATTGATCTGAGGATTGTTTTCTGTCCGTTTGTATGGTAGAACATGACATTTATATTCGTCTTTCAACTGGCGTTATGCCCAAATCATGTAAAGGAAGTGGCACTGTTTTGAATAGTGCTTCAATCTTTTTTTTTTCTTTCTAGACTATAATATTTTATGAGTGCTTTTGTTTTTCTGAGCCGATAGTCTATTGGAAACCGTATCTCTATCTTCACAAAGGTAGGGGTAAAGTTTGCGTACACACTATCCTCCCTAGATCTCACGATGTGGGATAATACTGGGTATGTTGTTGTAAAATAATATTCTATGAAATACATTTTTTCTATATAAATACAATCGTGTAAGGAAACAGCTAGTTGACTGCCCCTTCCACCCGGCCTTTCTTCGCCGTGTGAATAATGTCTTGTCTGTCTGGGCAGGCCACCGCTCCTTAATTGAGTATAAAAAGAGATATCGTCTTATGTGCAGATAGAAGTGCATGATAGAGACCGATGCTTTTGTAAGTTTTCTTTTTTTAGTCTGTTACTTCAACAAAACTAGATCTTGTAGAATCATATTGAATATTTGGCTATATATTATGTACCTTGCTAAAAAATAAATCCTTGTTTACCAATCATACATTGTCTAACCAAATTCAATTCTCTCACGATATGTTCCTCAAAAAAATTGACTCGGCCTGATTCTTCCCCAAATTAACAAATAGATCTTGGCGAAATTTTCACATATGAAATTGAGCACATATTTACTAAAAAAATAGTCCATTTCTTTCTTGAGAAAAGATGGGAAAGATTCTCAATATCATTTGATTAAATAGCTGACTCAGCCCCTTGTTGCTTGAAGAAACCCTCCACTTCAAATGGTATTTTTTCACAAAAAAATGGACATGAAATAAGAAATCTAGTTTTTCAATAAGATTTCGAGATTGCCCTTATTGCTTGAAGAAATCCTCCACTTCAATTGGTATTTTTTCACGAAAAACGGACATGAAATAAAAAATCTAGTTTTTCAATAAGATTTCGAGTAGCGATCTCGAATTCAAGTTGATTCTATTTCGACTCTTCCTTAGTGAAATCTATGTTCAACAACAGAAAGAGGTGAGGTTTTGCTTTCTTACATGAGAATATTTACAAGGGAGAAGCCGCGAAAGACATACAAGCGTGCCTCTCGGAGATGAATAGTGACTCAGTCCGCTCCTATTGCGTGGGAGTGTTAACCATTCGGTGTTGGGTCGGCCCCTATGGTAGTATCCGCCTTGGGAGTGGTTCAGCCATTAAGCTACTTTGTGGGGGGTAGGAGACCAGATTGATGGCCACTGCAGTTGTTGTCCATAGGGTATGATGGGTGGCTTAACATTGCTAGTGACCTAAAGCAAAATTTTGACGAGAGGCTTTAATTTTTTATTTGATTGAAGTGTATTTTCCTAACTTTTTTAGATGCAAAATTATTAATAATTTTCTTATAATCGAGTTTTCTAATAAGTCTTTTCCAACTAATAATACTGATAATCTGATCCATTTAACTTCTCGTGAGACATTGATAATCCTATATGTTACATCTCGCGTTTTCGTACGTTAAAGTTTCGTCTTCAGTTAATTGACGTAGATTCGGGGATGAGATTATCTTGAGGTTAACGTATTTATACTATTTATAACAAGCGATAAGCAAGTGTCATGAAGGATAAAGGGTACACGAATTAAAGAAAATGAATTTCATTGAAGGTTGCTGATTTGGGATAAAATACGGTTCGAGCTATAATACTCGATACTCATAGACTAGTACCATACAAGGTACCATATGCCCGTGATAGTATGATGTATAAAGTATATTAAAAATGAGTAATATTTTTAGGTAATTTAAGAAAATTCTTAATTATGCGGATAATTGGTTAATTATCGGATAACGAGACATTACCTAGTTAATTATTAAATTATGAGATAATACATGGCAGTAAGGAAGCTCACAAAGCCAATGACTAAGTAGTCATAAGAAGATTAGTGGCTATCTAACTTCAACGTGTAAACACTCAAGGTAAATATAACATTTGGTCTCTTTTAAAATTTTTGGTCTCTTTTAAAAGGTTTAATTCATTATTTGATCAGAGAAATTCAAAAATGAATTGTGATTCACAAATACTCAAGAACAGATGCTAACGAGAATTTTGCAAACAATTCAAACGAAATTGGCTTCCAACGAAATTTTGCAAATAATTCCAGCGAGAATTATTAGAACCGTAGCAACGTAAAATTTTGCAGTTCTGAATAAGTACGGTGCAATCTTTTCCAAAAATATTATACGGATTTTTCTCTACTCCAGGTATGTTAAGGCTATCCATTCTTTCTTTTTGGCATGATCTATACGACACAAACGAAACGAGTAAATGTACAACTTTCATAAATTACTCTATTCATAAAAATGCTAGAGATGTGTATATTCTTATTCTCCCATAAGTCATATTATTCTATCTTCTGTTCATGGGTCTCAGAAAAATGCGTGTTTGATAAAGTTTATCCGAAAGGCATATTGATTTTTATGGCATTCCGAGAAAATCTTATTAACGTATTTCTTATGCATTTCATGTATTTATACATGTACTTTGACCCATGACCAAATGGCGTTATATACGCGTATATATGTATATTATATTTATATGGGATACGGGAAAAAGATTACGGTGTTATATACGCACCACCACCTGATCAGTTGGTATATGTTGATGATGTTGCCCACAATGGCCGAGACGATATGATGGGATGCCCTCAGTGTCTTGATGATGTTATGTACACATATACCTATGCATGACACGACAGTTATTTGGACGTGCATGACATTATAAATGTTTCAGAATTTACAAAGTTATTCAGATTTACAGATGGATCTCTTTATTCCATGTTTCATCTATATCTTTTATGTACTGATTTTCATGCCTTACATACTCAGTACATTTTTTGTACTGATGCCCTATTTCATGGGGCCTGCGTTCATGCCCGTAAGTGCAGTTAGGCAAGTTGACGGTCCCCCTTCTTAGGATCCTTGATCAGCGAGAGTTGGCGTGCTCCACTTGATCCGGAGCGGCTTTTTATTTTGGTATGATATGCTTGTATATATACATGAGTATGAAGTGGCTCAGTTCCGTCTTTGTACAGTTGTATTTCTATTAGAGGTTTGTAGACAGTTGTGTATAGTCAGATAGTATATGGCTTTGTAGGCTTTCAGTTTTGGGTATATACTTGTCTATAACAGCCTTGTCGGCTCGCCCACTGTATTCCGCATGTATATGTACATATGCCTTTTTGGCAGGTTTCCTTCATGTATGTTATTCTCGTAATTCAGCAGACGTCATTCAGGTTCATATCTTAGACGCATGCTTAGGGGTGTTCGACAGGTAGGACACGGGCACCTGTCGCGGCCCATCGGCTTGGGTCGTGACAAAAGTGATATCAGAGCAGTTCTGTCCTAGGGATGTCTACACACCGTGTCTTGTAGAGTCTTGTTTATGGGTGTGTAGTGCACCACACTTATAGACAGGAGGCTACATGACATATAAGATGTTATCCTCTCATTTTATCTTAGATCGTGTGATATAAGAATTCATGTTCCTAAGAATATGTTACGTTTTCAGCGATGCCTCCGAAGACTACAGGCACCCAAAAGGGAAAGTCCGTGGTTGGTGAGACTACTTGTCGACCGCCACGAGTTATCAGGGCTTGGGGAGAGTCTCATAGTGATATTCCATCTCAGACTTCACATACCCCGCCCTTTCTAGAAGAGTTCTGAGGGACACCAGCTCCAGCGCCCGCCCCTATATGTCCAGCTCCTCAGCTAGATGCACCGGGTCAGGAGATGAGAGATGTTATTAAGCTATTAACCCGATTAGTAGCCGCACAGGCTCAGCGTCAGGAAGTAGGTATTGGTCATGTAGATAGGTCCGTCAGTGCGAGGGTTCGTGACTTCATTAATTTAGACACTCCGGTATTCATTGGGGCAGATCCAAACGAGGACCCTCAGGTATTTATTGATAAAATGTAGAGGACGTTAAGAGTAATGAAGGCCACTGTGACTGAGTCAGTTGAGCTAGCTTCTTATAGACTCCGAGATGTTGTAGTTAATTGGTGCAAGTCTTAGGAGTTGTCCAGAGGTGAGAATGCCCCTCCAGCAGTATGGCAGGAATTTATAGAAGCTTTTCTTCGTCATTATCTGCCACCAGAGATTAGGGGGGCCAGAGTTGATAGGTTCTTGACCCTTCAGTAGGGTAACATAATGTTCGGGAGTACAGTCTTCAGTTTGATTCATTGGCTAAGTATGCTCCCACTATTGTATCTAAGATGGAGGATCGGGTTCATCGGTTCATCATAGGATTAGAGCCGCACTTGCTTAACGATTATATGTCGGTCTCACTTCAGTCGGACATGGATATTTCTCTTATTCAGGTATACGCTTAGGGTATAGAGGAGCGTAAGCAGAAGCAAAGGATGGATCGTGAGCATGATAGGGCCCAGAATAAGATAGCGAGGTCTTCGGGTACTTCTGGTGAGTTTCGAGGTGGTCAAAGGCAACAGTACCCGAGGTATCCAGCCCAGCCATTGGGCGCACCCTCTCAGTTTGGCGGTAAGAAATTTGATCGTTCCACATATTCAGGGTCTGGTCAGAATTTCAGGGCCTCAGGTTCTCAGTATAGGGGTGAGTCAAGTCAGATGGGGCCGCCCTTGCCACGATGTGCTCAGTATGGTAAGCAGCATGCCGGACAGTGCCGTATGGGATTGGGTATTTGTTATACTTGTGATTATCTGAGCCACATTATGAGGGATTGTCCGATGAGAGGTGATGAAAGCATATCAGCCAGCGAGATCTGTAGCTAGTTTGTCATCATCAGTACGCCCCCTGGGAAAGGTCCACAAGTACCAATGAGTCGTGGTAGAGGCAGAGGCGGAGCATCTAGCTCGAGCAGTCCTCAAAACCGCATTTATGCATTGGCAGGATGAAAGGACCAGGAGTCATCTCCTGATGTTGTTACAAGTATATTATCAGTCTCCTCATATGATGTATAAGCACTGATTGGACTAGGTTCCACTTTACCATATGTTACTCTGTTGGTTGCTAGTAAGTTTGGAATAAAACCTGAATTGGTTAAACCTTTTGAGGTGT